CTGCACCGACTAGAGAGGAAGTTAATGATGATGATCATGAAACTTCAGATCAAGTTGCTACTGAACTTCGTAGGTCTACAAGGACATGTTCCGCACCAGAGTGGTACGGCAACCCTGTCCTGGAAATCATGTTGTTAGACAATGGTGAACCTTCGAACTATGAAGAAGCGATGGCGGGCCCGAATTCCGACAAATGGCTTGAAGCCATGAAATCCGAGATAGGATCCATGTATGAAAACGAAGTATGGACTTTGACTGACTTGCCCGATGATCGGTGAGCCATAGAAAATAAATGGATATTTAAGAAGAAGACAGACGCGGATGATAATGTAACCATCTATAAGGCTCAGCTTGTCGCTAAGGGTTATCGACAAGTTCAAGGGGTTGACTACGATGAGACCTTCTCACTCGTAGCGAAGCTGAAGTCTGTCTGAATCATGTTAGCAATTTCCGCATTCTATGATTATGAGATATGGCAAATGGACGTCAAAACGGCATTCCTTAATGGTTTCCTTAAGGAAGAATTGTATATGATGCAGCCGGAAGGTTTTGTCGATCCTAAGAACGCTGACAAGGTATGCAAACTCCAACGCTCGATCTATGGGCTGGTGCAAGCATCTCGGAGTTGGAACATTCGTTTTGATGAGATGATCAAAGCGTTTGGGTTTACGCAGATTTATGGAGAAGCCTGTGTTTACAAGAAAGTGAGTGGGAGCTCTGTAGAATTTCTCATATTATATGTGGATGACATACTATTGATGGGAAATGATATAGAACTCTTGGAAAGCATAAAGGCCTACTTGAATAAGTGTTTTTCAATGAAGGACCTTGGAGAAGCTGCTTACATATTAGGCATCAAGATCTATAGAGATAGATCGAGACGCCTCATTGGTCTTTCACAAAGCACATACCTTGACAAGATATTGAAGAAGTTCAATATGGATCAGTCCAAGAAGGGGTTCTTGCCTGTATTGCAAGGTGTGAGATTGAGCACGGCTCAATGCCCGACCACGGCAGAAGATAGAGAAAAGATGAGTGGCATACCCTATGCCTCGGCCATAGGGTCTATTATGTATGCCATGCTGTGTACCAGACCTGATGTAAACCTTGCCGTAAGTTTGGTAGGAAGGTACCAAAGTAATCCCGGCATGGAACACCGGACAACGGTCAAGAATATCCTGAAGTACCTGAAAAGGACTAAGGATATGTTTCTCGTTTATGGAGGTGACGAAGAGCTCGTCGTAAAGGGTTACGTCGATGCTAGCTTCAACACAGATCTGGATGACTCCAAGTCACAAACTGGATACGTGTATATTTTGAATGGTGGGGCAGTCAGCTGGTGTAGTTGCAAGCAAAGCGTCGTGGCGGGATCTACATGTGAAGCAGAGTACATGGCAGCCTCGGAGGCAGCACATGAAGCAATCTGGATGAAGGAGTTCATTACCGACCTAGGAGTTATTCCCAATGCATCGGGCCCGATGACTCTCTTCTGTGACAACACTGGAGCCATTGCCCTTGCCAAGGAGCCCAGGTTTCACAAGAAGACCAGGCATATCAAGTGTCGCTTCAAATCCATTCGTGAAAATGTTCAAAATGGAGACATAGATATTTGTAAAGCGCATACGGACCTGAATGTCGCAGATCCATTGACTAAACCTCTTCCACGAGCAAAACATGATCAACACCAGAACTCTATGGGTGTTCGATTCATCACAATGCAACTAGATTATTGACTCTAGTGCAAGTGGGAGACTGTTGGAAATATGCCTAGAGGTCATAATAAAATGGTTATTATTATATTTCCTTGTTCATGATAATTGTCTATTGTTCATGCTATAATTGTATTATCCAGAAACAGTAATACGTGTGTGAATACATAGACCACAACATGTCCCTAGTGAGCCTCTAGTTGACTAGCTCGTTGATCAATAGATGGTTACGGTTTCCTGACCATGGACATTGGATGTCATTGATAACGGTATCACATCGTTAGGAGAATGATGTGATGGACAAGACCCAATCCTAAGCCTAGCACAAGATCGTGTAGTTCGTCTGCTAAAGCTTTTCTAATGTCAAGTATCTTTTCCTTAGACCATGAGATTGTGAAACTCCCGGATACCGTAGGAGTACTTTGGGTGTGCCAAACGTCACAACGTAACTGGATGGCTATAAAGGTACACTACAGGTATCCCCGAAAGTATCTGTTGGGTTGGCACGAATCAAGACTGGGATTTGTCACTCCGTATGACGGAGAGGTATTTTTGGGCCCACTCGGTAAAACATCATCGTAATGAGCTCAATGTGACTAAGGGGTTGGTCACGGAATGATGTGTTATGGAACGAGTAAAGAGACTTGCCGTAACGAGATTGACGAATCTTGGGCAAGTGCTATATCGATGGACAAAGGGAATCGTATACGGGATTGATTGAATCCTTGACATCGTGGTTCATCCGATGAGATCATCGTGGAACATGTGGGAGCCAACATGGGTATCCAGATCTCGCTGTTGGTTATTGGCCGGAGATATGTCACGGTCATGTCTACATAGTTCCCGAACCCGTAGGGTCTACACACTTAAGGTTCGGTGACGCTAGAGTTGTAGAGATATTAGTATGCGGTTAATCGAAAGTTGTTCGGAGTCCCGGATGAGATCCCAGACGTCACGAGGAGTTCCGGAATGGTCCGGAGGTAAAGATTTATATATAGGAAGTCCAGTTTCGGCCACCGGGAGAGTTTCGGGGGTCACCAGTATTGTACCGGGACCACCGGAAGGGTCCCAGGGGTCCAGCAGGTGGGGCCACCTATCCCGAAGGGCCCCATGGGCTGAAGTGGCATGGGAACCATCCCCTGGTGGGCTGGTGCGTCCAACCTAAGGGCCCAAGGCGCCTAGGGTTAGAAACCCTAGGGGGCCGTTGCCCCCCGAGGGGGCATGCGCCCCCCTGGTTGGAAACCCTAAGGGGGTCGTTGCCCCCCGAGGGGCCGCCGCCCCGGGGGCCGCTGCCCCCCCCCCCTCTCTAGATGGGATCTCCAAGCCCCTATATATAGTGGATGGGAGGGAGGGCAGCCGCACCCTAAGCCCTGGCGCCTCCCTCTCCCTCCCGTGACACCTCTTCCTCCTCCAGTAGCGTTTGACGAAGCCCTGCTGGAATCCCGCTGCTTCCACCACCACGTCGTCGTGGTGCTGGATCTCCATCAACTTCTCCTCCCCCTTGCTGGATCAAGAAGGAGGAGACGTCTCCACTCCGTGCGTGTGTTGAACGCGGAGGTGTCGTCCGTTCGGGCTAGGATCATCGGTGATTTGGATCACGACGAGTACGACTCCATCAACCCCGTTCTCTTGAATGCTTCCACTCGCAATCTACAAGGGTATGTAGATGCACTCCTCTCTCTCTCGTTGCTAGATGACTCCATAGATTGATCTTGGTGATGCGTAAAAAATTTTAAATTTCTGCTACGATCCCCAACAGTCATCACGAGAATTTGTGAGTTGATTACCAAAACATATATCAAGTGATCTCGATAAATTACCTCATTGTCACCACGAGTACCCACAAGCAAGACATACATTAAGTGGTCTCAAATCCAAAGTATTCAATCCAACATACAAAACTTCAAAGTGCAAGACTCAATTCATCACAATAAAGATAGAGAAGGAACAACATCATATGATCCAACTTTATTAACAAAGCTCATGGTACATCAAGATCGTGCCACATCAAGAACATGAGAGAGAGATCAAACACATATCTACTGATACATAGCCTCAGCCCCGAGGGTAAACTACTCCCTCCTCGTCATGGAGGCAGCGGGGATGATGAAGATTGCCTCCGGTGACGACGTTCCCCCTCCGGCAGGGTGTTGGAATAGGATCCCAGATGAGATCGCTTCAGAACAAAGGCTTGCGGCGGCAGATAACTCATATAGGTCAACTTTCAGGGGTTTATGAATTTACAGCTTGTTTGGTTGGGAGGAGTTGTTGATTGGGAATGGGAGTTTAAGTTAAGTGAGACTTAAAATCCTTTGATTGACTCAGGGACATGGGAATTAAGAAAGGAGGGGGAAGGGGAATTAAGAGGGCCAACTCCCTCAGATCTCTTCCCTAGGGGACCCCTGGTAATTGAACTGGGGATTGGGAATTAGCAAAAAAGAAAAACATTTCGTTGATTGTGCACGTTCGTGAGGGACCTTTGGTTAGCTGAGTACGTACGTGAGGAAGGCATTCTCCTGCCTAATCCCACCAATCAAACAGGGGCAGTTAACTCCCTCTTAAAATCCCATTTCTAATTGCCTTCACATGCCAAACAGAGGAATGGGACTTAAAATCAATTTCCCATGTCTAATCCCTTGGCAAACTCCCATCTCTAAACTCCCATTCCCTTTCCCTGTTATTACCAAACACGCTGTTATAGGATTTCTCAGTGTTGGAATCACGCCGAGGGGGGGGGGGCACAAGCTCAGGTACCGTGCCCCGGGGGAGGGCACGCCGCTTGAGCTTGTGGCTCTCATGGGTATCTTCTAGTCCTTCCCCGAAGCTTTCGTTGGTCTCTTTTCCTCCATAAAAAATCACCGTAAATTTTTATCGCGTTTGGACCTCGTTTGGTATAGTTTTATGCAAAACAAAGAAATAGGCAAAAAAACAGGAAGTGACACTGCGCACTAGATTAATATGTTAGTCTAGAAAAATAATATAAAAGTACAACAAAACCATATAAATTTATTGTAAATATGGCATGAACACTTAATAAATTATAAATACGTTGGAGACGTATCAACATCACAAGCTTAATTTCTGCTCGTCCTCAAGTAGGTAAATGATAAAAAAAATTATAAAGTATTAATACTAAAATAATGCATAAGTTTGATCAATAATAATTTCAATCATTTTTCCTAACATCATAATCAATAAACCGCCATGGCCTTCCGTAAAAAAATTCAAATACAACCTTTTCTTTTGTGAAAAAAACACACACGAACTAGCGGCTATTATACATACAAAATTTCAACCAAACCCCATGACCTTAGGAGCGAGCTCAAGCAGCTTGCCGAGCGCGTCCCCGGAGAACTTGCGCGCGAACATGAAGCAGAACTCAACCGCCCCGCCGGCGCCGTAGCCGCACTCCCCGTTCCCTCGCCTCATCCCCCCCAGCAGCTCCGGCGTGACGTCCCTCACGTCGTAGCTCGCCGGGTGCGGGCCCGGTCTCGGCCAGTCGGTGTACGTGAGGGTCCGGTTGGCAGCGCGCACGCCCCAGCCCAGCAGGGTCACCAGCGTCGGCATGTAGTGCTCCAACATGTTGGCGATGCCGTGGTCGCCGCGGAACACGGCCATGTACCGCTCCTCGGCGACGACGTCAATGGCGAGCTCCCGATCCATCTCGAACCACTGCGACCCCTTGCGCCACTGCGCGCGGCTTATGTTGCGGCGGAGGAAAAAGGGCGCGTGCCGCGCGCGGGTGGGGAAGCTGTCAATGAAGCTGGCGTTGGCGCCGATGAGGAAGGCGTAGGCGGCCGGGAAGGAGAGGAGAGGGATGCACGTCTCCGATAGCAGAGCGAACCGCGCGTTACCGAGGTCCAGCAGCGCCGTCCCCAGCAGCCGGACGCTACCACCGGAGTCGGCGATGGCCGTAGGAGAGAAGGCAGCGGCTGCAGGAAGGGCGTGAGGTAGGATTCCTGGAAGTTGGCGTTGTACACCATGCCGAAGACGAAGCCCAAGGAGAGGAGCAGCAGGACGGTGACCACATTGGAGAGGATGCTCCCGGAACCGGAAGGGAGGGCTTCCATGGGCTTGGCCGTGCTGCTGCTCGCCATGCTACGTCGGGCATAAAGAAATGCAGCTCTTGGTTACTTATACTACATACATGGAACACTGGGCCACAGCTACGTCCGGGAGACACGTGCAACCGTCCATCCTTGCTGCCCTGCTAATTCTACTACATGCAGAAGTCGGTATCACTCCTAACAGTGCTACTTTCGGCAGCGGTGGTAATTAGCACGAAAGCAACCTGGTACTCCCACCGTTTTAAAATAGATGACTCAACTTTATACTAGCATAAAATCTTTATACTAGTACTAGTATAAAGACTTTATGCTAGTATAAAGTTGAGTCATCTATTTTGAAACAGATTCAACTTTATACTAGCATAAAGTCTTTATACAAGTAAAGTCTTTATACTAGTATTACTAGTATAAAGACTTTATGCTAGTATAAAGTTGAGTCATCTATTTTGAAACAGATGAAGTACGTATCAGGCATTATTTTCTTTCTTTTATTTGAGAGAAAAAGTATCAGTCACTCTTTTTCCATCTCTAGCTTGTTCTCTTTAGAGCAACTCTTGCACCGTCCCCTCCTGCTCCGGCATCAACCATTCTACTCCCTCCGTTCGGAATTACATGTCGTAGAAATGGATGTATTTAGATGTATTTTAATTCTAGATATATCCATTTCCGAGACAAGTAATTCGGAACGTAGGGAGTATGTCTTTAGAGCCTCTCCTTCTCCCCCTTTCCCTCGTCAGGCCGACAAAGACCGGAGTGGGACTTCCAGGCACTCTTTCCTTCATAACCAGCTACAGCTACGGCAGGCAGACACGCGCAACCGGCCACCCTGATGCTTTGGCGAACATCGCTTGCTCTTTGCATAAGTTTGTACACATACTTTTAATTTTGTCAGCGGTAGTAATTGCCAAGGAAGCAATTCTCTTCACATGTACAATTGTAAACATGGCCACTCCTGGTCTTCTCACAAATTGGCAACTGGGCCGACAGCTGAAACCTAGACCCAGGTCAGTGCGGGTTTTATTTTAGAACAAAGTCAAAAGTCTCTGTATTCGATTAACCTACACATGGATCTCTAGGTCGAAAGTACCTGTGGATTAGGAGGAACCCAACGTAGCACCGGGAGCTTCTCCCTTGCGTTGTGTGTATACGGAGCAAAATTCACAAATGTGCAATTACGAACAATCTTGGGAGTTTACAGTCTGACTCACAGCACGATCGTAGGTCGACAGACGCGTGTACGCGGATGGGGATTGCCGGGTCTCGGAGAAGAATCCTAGGGCTGGTTGACGTTGCTCCTTCTGAGGGCATACACAATTGCCAGACCACCAGCGGCGAGGGCACTTGCCGCGATGATGAGGGCGGGTGAGCTCCTGGCTTGGGCATACGCCACGCCCCACCGAAATATGAAATGTGCTCCGCAGCTCGATTCAAACTTTTCCGTTGAGAAGTCCTGCATAAATTGAGTAACATGTTATATCAATGGGGCTTCTCGATATGTATGTACACTTCTGATAATAGCTAAAACGTTTCGGTTTATTCAATAACATAACCCCCATTATCACTTTGTTTAGTTTTGTGCACAAAAACGCCAGAGAACTCAACAGAGCAGCCTAGATGGAATACAAACTCAGAAGGAGCATTCGATTTACTTCTCACACTCATGGTCACTGCTGCAGGCTAGACATAAATTCATCGCAACTTCCACTGAACATTTCTAAGGAGAAATCCTGCATGGTGATCCCCAAGAAAATTAAATTGAATCATCATCAGAATCAATGAATAACTGGTTCTAACAAGAGCATGCTTGTCAAATAAGGAAACGTGAGAAGTTGCAGACAGTTTTCAGAATATTTCGATGTGTTTTTTCGTCGAAGATATTGTTACAGTGTAAAATATTGCAGAAAACATTCAGGTGCATTCTGATTTGCATCTGGCTAAATTTTCGTCCCATAATACTTCCCCTACAGGTCTGCACTAGTATAGGTTATAAATATTTCTACAATATCAAACAAAAAATATTCTGAAATTTGATGTGTTATTGTGTTTCTTTGAATTTTCAGAGCCCACAGGAGGAAAAGCTCTCAAAATGGTAACCACTCACTTGTAGTCTTTTTTCATGTATTAATTATGGAACATACAGGCTCTTTACTCTGGATTAATCATGAAACATACAGAAGTTGAGTGCAGTTTTCACTCACCTTGGGAAGTTTCTGTTGAGAGTTCAGATGATCAACATGAAGGCGAACATTAAAGGACGCAGGAATCCATAATTTCCTGTCTACATCACAGTAAGTCTTTGAAACTATATCAAACAAAGTTTGAGCACCATTCTCTATGGATTGCAGAATGGAGGCTTCTCTAGCCTTTCGATTCCTACAAATTCAGCAAGATGCACATTACATCTGAGCTAATGTCTGCAGTATCTACAAACAGATAACTGTATCGTACTATCAGGTACGAACAAAGATGAAGAAATAACAACATAATTGTGCATCCATCAAGAGGTGGGTATGTAGAAAACGATAATAGGCCACTTTTTAGAAGAAACAGGAAAAGTTGCAACAAAGGAACAGACTACATTTGAATTGATTCGACAAATCTGAAACTATAAAGTTCATCTTATATTCTGCTAAAAATGAACTTGTTCAACCATAGAACATGTGAAGTGTAGACAAAGTTTGCAGTAGCGATTAATTCCATACTTGAGATATCCACAAAGCATATGCTTGGGCCATAGGTTGATTCTTCCATGCATTGGAATTAGCACGTGTGGCGATATCTCCAAGAATTTGTATGTGGTTTGGAAGTAGTCCTGCATAATTCAGAACACCCTTATGCCAATGCAACTCTGATTTAGACAACACAACTCTCTCGAGGCAGCATTGCTAGAAAACGTAAAGCACAGAAACAAAGTACAAGATGGGAAAGAAACCGAGAGATTTTCCACGATTTGCGAACTTCGGTTATAATGCAAGAAATGAGCTTCCAAACAAAAATCATTGTTACCTTCATGTTGCCACCAGCTCTATTGTCCAATATTGCACTTCCATGCCTGAAAATGGCAAAATTATGCATCATTACTTCTCAGTGTTTATTTTATTTAGCATCACTTGCCTGTTTAGTGTGTGATTTTATTCTGTATAACTTTTGAGCAAAAGTAGTCAGTACTTTAGTTCTTGCATCTTTTTTATTAATAAAATTAAAAAAACTGGTGGGTGTCTAATATGCTGTCTATAGACAAGCCTCTGTACATTATACATAGCCTATATATGACAGCCCAGTAGTTTCTTTAGTGAGTGGGGACAAGTTAAAAATCCGAGCATGTTGTAGTCCTTGAAGCTGGTCATTCTATTCGTGTGTCTTATCCATTCGTCAAATATAACATTAACAAGTAATACAATTTAGATATGGTAGTTCGATTTAATACTTGCATCAATTTAGATATCAATGAAGAATGGTCATATAGTATCTGCAACAACTGCTGCTAATATGCTGAAGAATGATGCTTACCCTACGCAATGATCTCCGACAATTAGTGCATTGGTATTGACATGGAGAAGCCCCATATGACCATCTGTATGACCCTAGTATTGAAAACATAGAGAAGTATCAATCAATAAATTCAGTATGTTCTGGTCTAAAATATGATGCAGATTCCACAGAAACAGCTGAATACATGCTTCAGATCAGATCATACCAGTAAATGGATGAACTCCAAACTCTAAAATAGACAAATCGTATGCTTCGGCCATTATGAGTTCACATAGTTAATTCAACAGAATAACAGAAACATAGACTTCTTCAAATGTGAATATTGGTTTGCTGTATAAGTCAACTGTTTTCCGGAGAATACTTTCTAGGTCATGCAGAGATCATGTATAGTGTTGCTACTATTTTGCTTCAAAACAACGTTAGGAATGCTACGTTTTGTGTATTTTACTATTTTTTCTGAAGTCTAACATTCTTTAATTCTTATAAAATGTAAATCCATTCAAGTAACAAATGTCATGCCACCATCTTTTCTTAAAATAATCGTTGCAAAATATTATCAGTGGTTGGCATAATCATTCTGTATGGACTATGGCATGCAACTATATTTGAACAGCAAGAAGCAAAATACCAAACAATATACGTCGGACTGCCAAATGCTACTATAACCATTAGGGTTTATGTTCTTGCATTGGACTTCACAAAAATTGTTACATAATTAAGTATTTAATTATTGGAAAGTTCAAAGGAATTATCATGCTAGGTAACGAAACAATGGCATAAGCTAAAACCAGAGAACGATTCTCCAAGGAAAACACTGGCTTACAGGAGCAAAAATGACTTGCAGTTCTTGGTCACCTATGCATATGCTTTCACCACCAGTCACAGCAGTATAGCTGGTTGACCAGTTCCCTATACACCATGCACGAATGAAATATAAGATGTGTATGAACAGCACAAATAAATTAATGAGTATTAAGTTGAGCTAGTTCACAGAGATAGCCATGGTATATAGCAGTTGAAGATGGTGGCTAGTGAGTACCCTAAATTAATGAAATAAAATTGGATTATTACTACCGTCGTTCACAGGCAATCAAAACTAAAACA